AGCTGTCGTCGGGTAGCCGGGACAGAGTGATTCTGCAGAGGGATGTGAGGACACCTCCTCCTGTGGAGAGACGCCTCCAGGGCCACAGGCAGGAAGTGTGCGGCCTCAAGTGGTCACCTGACCACCAGCACCTCGCCTCTGGAGGGAACGATAACAAGGTTAGAGCGTCATATTAGCAGAAGGAATGAACAATCCCTTTCAGTTGGCTGAGAACATAGTCCGTATATGTTGCGTTCATTCTTTTTGTGATTTAATACTGAAAGCAGCCTTTCTCGTTTTTCAGTTTTCAAAGAAATAACGAAAAAACTAAATATTTTCAAGGAATAGTTCACCCGAAAATGAAAGTAACTAAAAATTTACTCTTCAGGCCATCCAAGATGTAGATGACTTTGTTTCTTCATTGGAACAGATTTGGAGAAATGTAGCATTGCGTCACTTGCTCATCAATGGATGCTCTGCAGTGAATGGGTGCCGTCAGAATGAGAGTCCAAACAGCTGATAAAAACACCACAATAATCCAAAGCGAATCCACACCACTCCAGTCCATCATTTTTTGTTATTGTGGACACTTTTATGTTTTATCAAATCCAATAACAGTTAATATTTCCCAAGTATACCAATTGGAAATAGTGTAGAGAGACACTGTGCATAGTGTAAACTGCCAAAAATTGGCTTGATATTTTTTTATTTTTAAGTTCAGGTGAATGAATAAACAGCTTGAATATTTGATTTCCACATGTGGAACTTCTGTCTTCAGTTGAAATTTTGCTTTTGAAAGTTGCTTTCAATATTAACTTAAAAGAATGAATGAACAGAACGTACACAGATGATTTTAGAGTACTGATTTCTGTTTTGTTGATAAGAACCCAATTGAGTCTTTTTTTACAAATTGAAAAATAACTAATTAAAGTTTGGTCTAAATAGCATGTCACTCCCGGTGTGTTTTTCTCTGCTGCTGCTGTTAGTTACTGGTGTGGAACAGCTCCAGTCTGCTCCCCGTGCAGCAGTACAGCGATCATCTGGCCGCTGTGAAGGCCATCGCCTGGTCTCCTCACCAGCACGGCCTGCTGGCCTCCGGAGGGGGAACGGCGGACCGCTGCCTTCGCTTCTGGAACACTCTGACCGGACAGGCGTTACAGAGTACCGACACCGGCTCACAGGTCTGCAACCTGGCCTGGTCCAAACACGCCAATGAGCTGGTAAGACAAGCACCTACACTCACAGTCAAATCAAATGCTTTTACCCGTACTGACTTACACCATTGATGTCCACCAGGTCAGCACACACGGCTACTCCCAGAACCAGATCCTGGTGTGGAAATACCCATCACTCACCCAGGTGGCCAAGCTCACAGGACATTCATACCGAGTGCTCTACTTGGTAAGAGTTTTTCGGATCTACTGTTTATACATACCATGGCTTGAACACTTTGTTATGATGAGCATGTTTATAGTTTCTGAATTAAAATTCAAAATCTCAGGGTAAGGCAACTGTCCTATGGAAGCCCGTTTCCGCCACTGAATAAAAAATAAAAAAAAAGGTTATTGCGACTTTTTATCTCACAATTCTGACTTTTTTTCACAGAATTGTGAGATATAAATCCGCAATTGCGAGTTATAAAGTCAGAATTGTGGGATATATTCTGACTTTTGTGTCGCAATTCTGACTTTTTTTTTCTCGCAATTGCGAGTTTATATCTCGCAATTCTGACTTTTTCTCGCAATTCTGACTTTTGTTCTCAGAATTGCGACTTTTTATCTCACAATTCTGACTTTATAACTCGCAATTGCATGTTATAAAGTCAGAATTGCGAGAAAAAAAGTCAGAATTGTGAGTTTGTATCACGCAATTATGAGAAATAGTAAGAATAGTGAGATAAAAAGTCGCAATTACCTTTTGTATTTTTTTATTCAGTGGCGGACACGGGCTTCCATACTGTCCTGATATCATAATGAAGAAAAAAAAGATTTGTTAAAAGAATGAAATTCTTGAAAAGAAAACCGTATTAAGTAGTTTGGCATAACATTTTAACAAAAGTGTTATTACAAGTTAATAATGTTTAGAGAAAGGTTTACACAAGTTTTAGAATATAACGTTGTGGACACTCATGTATTCAAGGTAAAGGAATATTTGTTTTTGCTTTTTACTTAAAGGGGTCATATGATGCGATTTCAAGTTTTCCTTTCTCTTTGGAGTGTTACAAGCTCTTGGTGCATAAAGAAGATCTGTAAAGTTGCAAAGACTAAAGTCTCAAATCCAAACCGTATTAAGTAGTTTGGCATAACATTTTAACAAAAGTGTTATTACAAGTTAATAATGTTTAGAGAAAGGTTTACACAAGTTTTAGAATATAACGTTGTGGACACTCATGTATTCAAGGTAAAGGAATATTTGTTTTTGCTTTTTACTTAAAGGGGTCATATGATGCGATTTCAAGTTTTCCTTTCTCTTTGGAGTGTTACAAGCTCTTGGTGCATAAAGAAGATCTGTAAAGTTGCAAAGACTAAAGTCTCAAATCCAAAGAGATATTCTTTATAAAAGTTAAGAGTCAGCCACACCTACCTAAAACGGCCAATCAGAGCAGACTGCGCTTGTCAAAGGAGGGGGCTTTGTTGAAAACGACGTGTTTGAGAGAGACGGGGCATAGAGGACCTACAATAATGTACAGTATTTGAAAAATAATGTGTTTTTTGAACATTAAAGCATGTCAACATATTCTGTTACACCAAATACACAAAATAAATGATCTTTAAAATAGCATCATATGACCCCTTTAATGGTTACACCACATGATATTTTTAGAGCCATTAAACTTCCTGAATAAACTATTTTAAAATCAACATTCCCAGTGATGGGAGAAATGAAGCTTTTTGAAGCTCTGAATCAACTGAAACAGTTGCTTCATAAAACGATTCACTGTTTCGAAGAGCTTGTAAATGCAACAAAAACTGATTACAAATGTTTTCAAAGTGTAACCTATTAAATGTATTCTACAAATAATTACATACAAAATTATTTGTTATAAGGCAAGGCTTGGCAAATTAAAAGCAATTAAGTTACAGAAAAGTTTTAAAATTCATTAAATCGAAATAAAATGATCCTGCATTATAAAACTAACCTGAGATCAGTTAAAAACCATTAGACACTTGTTTAGGGGTTCACCAGATCTAATGGCGAACTCTCAACATTTTTAAATGTTTCGAAACCAAAGTTCAAAACAGTATGACGTTATGAATCCCAGTTTTCTTAAAGTCACATGACATGCCAAGTTTGATACAAGCTCCAAACCTTTGTCAAACCATTCAGTCCATATGAAACCAACAAAAATACAAAGAGTTCATCCTTTTTGTCATTATGGACACTTAGTTTTATCAAAATGAATAACATTTTCCAAGTGTGCCATTATGAAAGCTCACTATATAGCTCAGAGAGACACTGTGGATGGTGTAAACGGCAATACTATCCAGAAGGTATGGTTGTCTCTGGATCTGATTTTTAATGAAGTACAAATGACCGGCAAAGACAAAGAGTAATCACATCTTCGATGTGTAATTGAATAATGTGAAGACACACATGCTGAGGATGTGTCTGGTTGTGTACAGGCGGTGTCTCCAGATGGCGAGGCCATCGTAACAGGAGCAGGAGACGAGACGCTGAGGTTCTGGAATGTCTTCAGCAAAACACGCTGCACCAAGGTCAGGATGGAGTCTTACATTCGGACGTGCAGCTCGTGCTGCATCTTTCTGTGCGTCTTTCACATTTTTTGTCTTCTGTCTCCAGGAATCCAAATCAGTGTTGAACCTGTTCACCAGGATACGGTAATTCACATCCAATCACGTGAACGAATGAAAGCCTTGAACTCACTCTGTTCTGTGTCCTTGCATCAACTCTAGACCCTCCGACAGAGAGAGACCCCAGCACTTCCTTCACGCTGACTTTTTTACTCCGCATATATCTGTTTTATCTTGTAAAATTGAGTGAGGGCTCGTTGTTTATGTTAAGATTCAGTCCGTTCTTCTTATTGTACATTGTGGATGTCCAAACAGATGTGCTATTGTATAAGTAGAAGTATTAATAGAGAAATGAATCTATATGACCTATATTGTCATTATCATGACTGTCAGACATGAGGTTAAAATGAAATGGCTTGTTATGGAAATGTCAATATTTTATATGTGTGTATCAAAACAGATCATGATATCCGTGAGAAATAAATACACTTAACACTAATCCTGCTGCTTTTTATGACAAACGGACAAAATTATGTATTTACTGTATGTCTAGCAATACTGTATGTACATTTCCGTTCAAAAGATTGGGGTACGTTTTTTTTTTTTTTAATAAATGAATACTTTTATTAATCAAGGATGCATTAAATTGATCAAATGTGACGGTAAGTTTTAATGTTACAAAAGATTTCTGTTTTTAAACAAATGCTGTTCTTTCGAACTTTCTATTCACTATTCCAGAAAAATATGAAGCAGCACAACTGTTTTCAACACTTATAATAATAATGCTACTCAAGCAGCAAATCTGCATATTAGAATGATTTCTGAAGGTTCATTTGACACTGAAGACTGGAGTAATGATGCTGAAAATTCAGCTTTGCCAGCACAGGAATAAATTACATTTTAAAATATATTTAAAAAAGAAAACAGCTATTTACATTTTAATAATATTTCACGTTCTACCGTATTATGATCAAATAAATGCAACCTTGGTGAGCATAAGAGACTTGTTTCAAAAACAACAGAAAAATCTTAGCAAAGCCAACTTTCAAACTTTTTGTATTGTAAATATGAGATGTATTCAAGATGTAAAAGCTTAAAGTTTCACTGAAAACTGAAAAAACACACAAAACCGCTTGCAAAGCTCCACAGGTTTCCACAGAACTGGAAAAACCACCATTCATAAAAATCTACAAATGTATAAGACTTGCATAACCTAACTAATGTTTAGCAATGTTCATGTTAAAACAAATAAGAAAAAATAGGGATATATTCTTTGAAAACAAAAATGATTTTTTTTTTTTGTGGTGAAATCAGTGCTGTTGTGGTGTTTACAGAAGATGTGATAAGATGACAAAAATAATATCCAATTATTTCAATCATTCAGATTGCTTTTTCAATCATAACCCGTTAACAATATGACTTGATTGTATTCAAAACAGTGCACTGGTTCTTTTGACCCCACAATACTAAAGCAATGACGACTCCACTCTGGATCTTGTATGGAGAGTGTTTAGTAGTTCGCTGCATACTCGGTACCTTGTAGTCCTCGACTCAACAAAGCAAACTCTTTCACAATGTCCTTCATCCGTCGCTTACTCACTTGTTCCCTGTGTGGACAGTTGAAAAGAAGAAACACATTTTTATAAAGTGCAGAGTTCATGGGTGGTGTTCTGGTGTTAATGTTAATGTCATGGTTCTACCTGAGGATCTGCTGGCAGAAGTGTTCTTTGTGCTCAGTGGTGAGATGTGAGCTGGGGAAGCCAGGGGGCAGAAGAGCCTCTCTGAGCCACACAGACAGCATGCTGGGACAGTTACGACTCGCTGAAAACAAGACTTCTGCAAAGTGCTCTGCCAGACTGCGTGGAGACTGACCCCCAATGGCCTGCATTCACAATGATATTGGTCAATATATATCTAGTATTTTATGGCTGCATATTCCTGTAGGAAGTAAATGTTCCTAAAACACTCCCATCAATAATTTTACACACAATTAAAAAGCCTGCACTGAAATACACAAGTGATTTATAAGATAATGGACTGAATATTCTATATTTCAGGTTGGTGAGTGACATTTTAGACATTTTTGCACTGCAAATGAAATTACTTGGAAATAGGGCTGTCAAAATGGCTGAAAAACTAAATTAGAATTTTGTACTTAAATATCAAATTTCTAATTTAAAATGCATAATTTCAGTTAGGGTGAAGAAAAGCTTTTGGCTTCCCTCCTGAGGCCACAAGAGGGCGCATCGAGCAAAATATTACTAATGCACGTTTATTCAAAGCATAAGATAACATGACTATCTGTGAAAAAAGTGCATAATGTTTAAAATAATGTTTATAAACCATTATAATTAATTAAGTTGCTTAAACAACTAACAAAACAGCATCATGTCTGTATGCATAGTTTAATACAAAGGGCCGAAAGCCAATCACACTGAGTACATTTATCATTTAAAAACATGAGATGCAGTGGGATGGGGAAAAA